GATTCTAGTCCTCCTCCTTGCAACACCTTGAAAGCAACAACGGTACACATCAGCCTAAATTCTCACAGGTATGACAGCTGAATCACAATTTGTAGACCTATTATTAGAACTTACGATTTTTTTCCACTTCATCCTTCTGTTTTGATACCATGTTTTGACTTGAAGCTGACTCAGGCCTAAAGACTCTGCCAGGTCTATCCTGTAAAAGAGAAAGATGTCGACTAAGCCATTTTCTCAGACAATAGTAACAACTGTTCTTTACATGTAAACTGTACACACACACAAAAAAAAAAATACAGTTGGAATAAAGTCGAACACTGACATTTACGTAAAATGCTTTACATTAAAATCGTGTTTACCTGTCAGGAGTCGAGAGATACTTCTGTTTCTCAAATCGTTTTTCCAAGCCCATCAGCTGTAGTTCGGTAAACACAGTCCTACTCCTCCTTCCTTTCTTCGTCTTGCTCACTGCATCAGCTCCAGGATCGAGTTTACCCCGAAGATGGAGGTCCAGCGGGAGATGGTGGGATGAAGAGCCCATCTGCAGACCCGCAGCTCCGGACAGAAGCGCGGAGCCCAGCGGTGACCCGAGTGAGCAAGACAGAGGAGACACTGGGAACTTCAGGATACTGGTCTGGTCTGCTTTCAGGACTGGAAATCAAACAGTTGTTCAATGATAAATTAGTCTGAATTAATACTTCTTGGTATTCATGTCACATAAAACGAAAGCGTTTGGATGGATCCAAGGTTCATGTTAACGTGAATGCTCTGATAGCCTTGGTCTATAAAATAATAATATAAATTTGAGTATATAAAATAAAATTTCGCTGATCGATCTAGCTATTATAGCTATAAACTATACTTTTGAATTCATAAGGATTTACATAAGGATCCTGTAAATCTTGAATAGGCCTAAGTGTTTCAAAACGGAAAAAGGTTTATTTAAATGCATGAGTCTTAGGTTAATTTGTTAACAGTCAAATTTTTCGCACATGAACATTTCAGCGTCAACCTCAAAATTAGCTGCCTCGCTGTAAAACTGTTTTCATTGTTAAAAACATATTTATTTTCAACCATTTAATTTTAGTCACTTCTACTCGATTTTCTCAGTTTTCAACATAATTTCCTTAATCTGTAATTCAATTCGATGTCGTTGAAAAGCAGTGAATGTATCAATGCAGGTTGCAACTTTGGTACCACTTTTTTACTACACATTTTAAAATTGTGATTAAAAATGAAAATATGTTTGGTTGTATTCTTTAGGCTATTTGCAGCGGCTAGTTTTCTTTCCCATTCTCAACAGAACATAAAGCACGAATTGCATGCAGTGGGCCTGAAATGAACGTAGCCTACATTTGCGATTTTCACAAGCTTGCTCGGTCCACTTCATTGCATATATATTTCGGTCTGAGATATCTGATTTGCTATGTATTGGTCTTCAAAGACAACGTGGAGTAATTTGTCTTTGAGTAGGCAAATATAGAGGTTCTGCGATTTGAATGTCCCTGTATTAAGAGAAGGTTAAGATTAAAGGATTGCCCATGCCGGATCTCAAAATATTGTCTGACTGAAAGGTCACGGTACTTACCTAAGTGGTTGTGGTATGGCCTGGCGGACAAAAGGGCATGTACTCCAAATTTGAGAAGGTCTCCAGTGGGACTTGATACCTTGTGATCCGGATGGTCTGTAAGAATCTCTTCAATCATGAAACTCCTGTACCTGTGAGACCTTTGGTCTGGATGGACATCATGGGGGTAGAAGTGCGCCCCGATCTCCAAAGGATGTTGCATTATTATAGTTTAAATGTAACAGATGTTCCCGAACCTCCTGGTAGTCAGAAACCTTGAGGTCACATTGAGGATTCAGATGTCCTTGTGAAGCACCGATGCATAAACGTCCATTCAGATTTTTAGATGCGACGATCATCTAAAGAGGATCATCCTCGGGTTTGTGGAGAGCTTTTGAAATACGCGAAGAAGACTTTGACTGATTCTCGATCTTTGAACGCTCAAAGTACGAGTGAAATTAATTTATTTTCTTTCGGGGAGTTCCGAAATGTGTGGTCCCGTCCACGCAGCTGGAGTGAGAAGTCTGATCCGCCCAGTGAGGACAGCCTGTTTCTGCTCTGAACGCACCAACCGAGCTCTGAATCAGGAACTTCGACATCTGAGTTTAAGGAGGTCTAGCTCAACGCCACACCTCCTCCACAGCGTGCACTGGTACTCTCTTTAAATAAAGGGAAAACACTTAGTCAAATTATTCAACTTGTCGTGAGACTGTTTGAAATGTCTTCGATTATTTCAAGAAGTTAAAATTTAAAGCAGCTCAGTGATGCTTTTGGCATTATACTTTATCCAAAATAGCCTATACATTAGACAAACCAATGCATACAAAAAATAATTTCTCTATGATAATTATGTCACCATTTCTGTTTTTAAGCTTTTTTAAGTTTTTTAAGAGATGTTTTACTCTACAATTCTGCTTTTATTATAGTCTCGAACACCTTTATTTCTTCTTGGCCATTAAATCAGATTAGTCATCTTTCACCAACGTTTATTAATTCTTGTCTCTCTAAGCTATCAGCTTAAACAAATATAACATTATTAGCGCATTAAGATATTCAATTTAATCTTGTAAAAAAATAAACTAATGTCTTGTAAAGATATAGAACCTAGAATCTTGCAGAATAGGTTCTCTCAAAATAAAGATTTGAGATCATCATAAAATGACAACTTCAAATAGCTGACAACTTCAAATAGCCTATTAAAAATTTTCCTCAATTCTGGTTATTAATAGACATAGCCGATTAGATTTTATTTTAAATTTAAACGTAAGAAAATCGGGCTTTAAAAAAATAACCTACGTCCACAAAAAAAAAAAAAAAAAAAAAAAAAAGGCCATGGAAAAATATTGTAAAAGTTTGGCCCCCAAAATCTTATATAAAATATGTAGTTCAAATAAAGGTTTAACAAACTGGTCTTTAAATCGCATAGTATGGCTAGTTGGCACACAGTTTTTTTCTTTTGCTTGTGATGTCGTAAAACCAGAAAAGGCTTTTGCCCTTGTGTTATAACTTTATGATGAATAAAACAATGCCATTCCTGTTATACTGTTGAATAATTCATAGTCATTCAACTTCATGTAAAGAGGACACGTTGCTCATTTTCTCCTGAAAACACTCTAAATCCGCTTAACATGGTGATCACAGTTAATTACTGTTTGTAGAATACAAGGTATAAGAAAATATACATCATAGCCTATACAATGTCTTATTATTACGCATCATGCAAGGCGATTGCTTACATTTTTTCTGTATTCATAGCATTCTCCTTTATGTTGAAATGGGCTATACATAATTCAACATTAAATTAAAATACCTACACAGTGGTGCGCTGTCACTCATAATTACAGTCTTTTGACAGAAACGTTGTTTCTTAGTTTTTACACATTTAATAAAATCGTATGGCGCGTCGATTTTAATATATTGTTATGGCAAAGCTGTGGAAGCATGTCTTCTATTTCTTCATCATGTAATCTAGGTCCATGCGAAATTATATTTCTGTCATAAATCGTGTGCCATTATGCCATATGACACAAATTTATGGTATAAGTCAAATCAAATATAAGGATTTTTATATTTAGGCCTATAACAATTTTACTTTTTGTTGTGTGTACACTCTAAAAAATGCTGGGTTGTTTTAACCCAATTTTAGGTCAAATATGGACAAACCCGAAATGTTGGGTTAAAAATGTAATGTAAAAATTTAACCCAACGGCTGGGTTAGTCCATATTTGACCCAAAGTTGGGTTAAAACAACCCAGCATTTTTTAGAGTGTAATTAGCCTATTCTTATTTCTGAAAGAAAGAGAGAAAGAAAGAAAGAAAGAAAGAAAGAAAGAAAGAAAGAAAGAAAGAAAGAAAAAGACATCAACCCCTTCTCAATATTCACTTAAAATAGTAGCTACATTTAAAGAACGACCTGAATGCCATCGCCTCTTGTCGGAGCACTTCTGTATTTCAACCACTAGGCGACATCATGTGAACGACGGCAGATTGCAAAGCATCAGTGTACAAATGCGCAGATATAACCTAATGATCTATCTTCTTTAATTAAAGCCAGTTTAGGTCAGGCTCTCACTATCTGCGTGCATTGCAATCACAGTTCTGATCAAATACAGCTTTAAACTGTATAAATAACCAGTGGAGTTTGTTTGTAGCCATGTAAGCCATACTGTGGGAGGTGGGATCACTTCGACAAAAAGCTCATTGTGTTAATCTATTATGTGCTTAACCACGTGCGCCACCAAGCTTCTTAAGACGCCCATATAGAGCATCATAAACATCCATATAAATTGATGAGGCATGCCTTGTATTATATTATATGCATACATTGGAGTTCAAATGTCTAGAATTGTCAAACATTGTATAATTTTGAAAAGTTTTAAACAGGTCATGTGTGGCACTGGCCATAAAAAAACGTCAGATGTTGTTGCTTTCAATGAAGTAGGCCTCAATGGCTTTGGACAATTATCAAACAAGTGACATAACATATAGTCATTAGGTTTTCCTCAAATGTGGAGTGAAGGTATATAGCTAAATATTTAGCAGCGTTGTACTTAAATTGTTATTCTTTTAATTTATAGTAAAGATATTAAATTAGAAAAATGCTAAATAGTAGCATTTTCCCATTTGGACGTTATTAGACGTCTTTATTCAAATGAAATGGTCATTTTATAGTGTTTGCATGCGTGAATTTCCTATTAAATTTGTTTTTGATTTCATAAATGACAATGATACCTTTTAATAAGTGCCTCGTTTCAGTAGTTCAAGCGGATCAATGACCCTACTCTCTTAAGACGAGTCAACAACACTTCACATGAGAATCAGCGTGTCCAAATGTGCTGTTCTTCGATTGTTTTGTCCCATTTCCTCACGTGCGCTCACCGCCCTTCATCCCTGCTTTATGGCCCTCATTTGATCACATGACCACGGATCGACCAATGACAAGCCTTATCTGTTTCCTCCAACTTGTTACAATGTAACATCCAGTTGAGCGGCGAAACTGATACAAATGCACGCGACACGGTCTTCTGTTGATTCATGCGTTTGCATTTCACAATGACCCCAGTGGAAACAATGGACTGCAACTAAACAAAATCCGTTTCCAGGGACGAGGACGAGGTATGTAACAACAGGACACACGAATGTTAGCCTTTGCGTTTAGCGCAATAGCATTATTGGTTAGCTAGCTGAGAGATGCACCGCAAGAGATTAACACACAGTCATTTAGTTAATATAGTGATCTACTCTCTAAACTCTATCATTTTGTCTCGGTCTCCTTTAGCTGCATTGTCCTTTTTTTGAGCTGTAATGTATCTTACTGGCAATAATGAATGAATGTTGGACATCAATGTCTGTGACCAAAGCAGAGAGTTTAGACAGATGAGAATCTGGAAATTTGCATTATGTTCATATGTTTAGCCTTTTCAAAGCATTCTGGTATAGAGTTTAGGTTTCCTTTTTAATAACGGTGATGTATTTATTTTTCTGTAAATGATTACTTTATTGTCCACAGTGTGCAGAAGAGAGATATAGCTATTTGATTTATTGTTTTCATGTGCTCCCATGTGTTCTGCTTGTTATTGTAGTGTCTGTTCAAGCTCATTGGTGGGAAAAAAATATTGGTTGGATTTTTAAGTGTGTGTGTGTGTGTGTGTGTGTGTGTGTGTGTGTGTGTGAGAGAGAGAATGTATGTATTTTATTAATTAATTAATTAATTAATGTATTTATTTATTTTAATTATAAATATAAATAACAGTTAATTATGCATAATTACAAGTAACTAACCCTAAACCAAACCATAACATTAACCCTAACAATAACATTATAGTAAGTAAATGTAATTAATCAATATTACTTATTTGAGTAAGGACAATAAAGTGTTACACTTTATCTTAAGGTGTTTGTTAGTGTAATTATTTATTTAAGTACTGAGTAATAATAATTAATGGCATGCACTTATTATAGGGTTAGGTTTAGGATTAGGTGTTGATTGAGGGTTAGTTGCATGCAATTATGCATAATGTATAGTAATTCCTATAGTGATGCATGTTTAACAAGGACACTTTGCACAACATAATTACATCATAATTTATTATAGGCCATGTCTTTATTTTTGGATGCTGCATTGAAAATGTACTTCGCTGAATGCTCACACTGTTAAAAAAAAAGGTTAGTTGATCTAACTTAAAAAAGTGAGGAAACCCGATGCCTTACAATTATTAAGTATATGAACTTTATGCGTAATTGAAAAAAAAAATTATGTAGAATTGTCAAGTTGAATGCATGAAGGCTTTTTCCTCAATAAAGGCAAATGGCTTCCTCACTTTTTTAAGTTTAGTCAACTGATCTGATCAGTTCGCAGTCAGGTTAACAGTACAAAGATTACTTTAAAACAAGTTTCCCCTCTTGAACTTGAGCTAGAATTCATGGTACAGTTTAGTCTGGATGTCTTACATTGATGTAAATAAACTTGACTCCTTAACAAATGTTTCCCATGATAGATCTCTGCATTGCAGTAGCTGAATAAATTTTAGTGATATACTTGGTGGTTTGGTTTCCAAAAAGAGGGCATGTGAAGGGTCAGACACTGAGCCAGCAACAACAGCAAGATCTCTAAACGGTTCAGTGAGTGCTATGGCTGAGGCAACACTTGAACTCGAGGTCTGTGGTCATATCTGAACATATATATATATATGTCTGAACATATAAGTTTTTTACAGTGTTCTGAGAGTGTTGTGGTGACTAAAGCTGATACAATTTACTGTCACAATAAAGAGACTCCTGAATGCTGAGTAAAACTACAGTATTAGTCAAAATCAATGTTATATGGTTTATTACATATTCAATTCTCATTTTATTGATGCAGTCATCAAAATAGTAGCTAGCTAGTAAGTTAACAGAAAAAAAAAATCAGTAGTCTGGTTAAAGGGGTAGTTTACCCAAAAATGAAAATTCTGTCATAATTTACTCACCCTCATGTCGTTCCAAACTCGTAAGACTATCGTTCATCTTCGGATGAAAAAATTCAGATATTTTTGATTTCATTGGCAGTCTATGCGACTACCACTTTAATGCTTCAAAAAGTTCATAATGACATTGTAAAACTATAATCTATGAATTGAGCGGTTTAGTACAAATTTTCCTCAACGACTCGATCACTTTATATGATGAAACAAACTGATTTTAGGCTTTTATCAGGTATCATTTCTGGTCGAAACATTTTCTGTTTTGAATTTTAAAAATCACAGCTTCAACGGAATATTACGAAGCATGGTGACTTTTATGGCATTAGGTATGTGAACACACACAAAAAATGAGATCATGATCTGAGCATGACCAGGAAGATGAACAGGAAAGTCAAATGGTTTTGGAACGACGTGAGGGTGAGAAATTAATGACAGAATTTTCAATTCTGGATGAACAAACACTTAAACATCAATTGTGCATAAACTCATTGTGCAATAACACCAATCTGATATAAAGTATATACACCTTTTCATAACTCTGTTTGAAAACGCTTTGAAAAACCAGTTCAAAGTTTAGATGAAAGTGATCGCCGTGCTTTGATTAAATTCAGTGGGCAGCGTTCAAGGATTCGCCCAAGCTCAGACTCCAACAGCTTTTGTAAGGGTGACATGCAGCTGGAAATTGTTTGCAAGCATATTAATGTATTAATATACATTATAATGATTTCAAACACTGGAATTGCAGAAATAATATAGGAACAAAAATCTCCAAATGTATATTAAAATATAAGACTCAATCACCTTATTGCTCTGTCTTTTCTATCAATGTGTTGATCAGGATTAGAACAAATCCATTTCTAATCAGATGAACAGCACACACTGATTGACTGGTGTCAGGTTGAGTTTTTGGATGGCTCAAGTGGGGTTTCACTTTGCCTCTGTCGGATCTGTGTGTAAGGAGAAGCATACATTACAATGCAAATGAGTCTCATAATGCCACTCCGCTGTCTTCTCATTTTACACTGTGAATTAATCATGGTGTATCAAATGACTGCTAACATCATCCTGAATGTGCCAAAGTTTGCTAAACAAACCCTACGCAAATCAGGCATTACTTAAGGCAGCACTATTCTTCTCCACTTTCAATCATTGTTAAAGATGAATAAATATACAGTATTAGTGCTGTCAAAACGATTAATCACATCTAACATACAAGTTTTTGTTTATGTGTATATATATATATATAAGTGTGTGTGTGTGTGTGTGTGTGTGTGTGTGTGTGTGTGTGTGTGTGTGTGTGCGTATACACTCACCTAAAGGATTATTATGGCCTCTGATGGCTACTTCCAGCAGGATAATGCACCATGTGACAAAGCTCAAATCATTTTAAATTGGTTTCTTGAACATGACAATGAGTTAACTGTACTACAATGGCCCCCAGTTACCAGATCTCAACCCAATAGAGCATCTTTGGGATGTGGTCAAACGGGAAATCTCCATCAACTGCAGGATGCTATCCTTTCAATATGGACCAACATTTCTAAAGAATGCTTTTAGCATCTTGTTGAATCAATGCCATTGAATCAATAATCCTTTACGTGAGTGTATATGTGTGTGTGTGTGTGTGTGTGTCTATGTATGTATATACAGTATATACACACACAGACATATAATATGTGTGTATATATATATATTTATATATATATATATATATATACACACACACGTATTATGATAAATTAAAAATACAATTATATGTTAAATGCGATCAATCTGATAGATAGATAGTAATTTGAAAATCCCTAAATAATAACTCTGTTTTTTAGCAAGATGGTTATAGTCATTGCCATTCTTACCTGTGATTAAAGTAATGGCTAGTCACAATGGTAATGTGAGTGGTCAGCTGTTGACACATGATATGCAGTGGTCACTGTAGGGTTAAACTGACACATTGAAGTTTCCATAGTATAGTATTGGTGAAAGATCCCTCACAGTATATACACAATAAGAGATTGGTAATCTGTAGTATTACTCCAAAATATGTTATACGGTTGATTCCTGTGAAAATCTCAATGATTTGATTTGTCTGAATGGAAAAAAACAACAACATCAAAAGGGTTCATTTGTTTCTCTGGTTCCTCAAGAGTCAAGGTTTCTCTTAAATGCATAGTTATTTATTTAACACTGCTCTTATAAAGAAGAGGTTGTGACCTCCTCACTCATTATATATTCCACTTGCAGTGATCCAGCATGTGACACAGCACCACACTGTTCAGTTTCCTCCCGGGATGAAAAACTCCCAGGCAACCAGCCTTACAACTTGCTCATTTATTGTTGTGTCTTGACTGTTTACTCTGCCATTGTTTTGTGTCTGAGGCTTTAAAAGCATGTTTGCTTCTACCTTTCAGTGTCGGCCATGGCAGCAGGCGTCAGTTTGTTGAGTGACCTGCCATACACCACCAGCAGTTCAGCTAACAGCAGAGAGTCCAACGCTGACATGGAGCCAGGTATCATACTGCTATTTATCTATTTGTGGCTGGGAGGTATTTTAAATGGTTAATGCACAGTATTTAAATGAAAACAAATAAGAATGTATTTTGATGCAAGGACTGAACAGACAGAAATGTTTTATAGCCTTTCGTATATTCTAAAAAAAGGGTGTTTTATATAGCGTGAAATGACTGGAGCCCTATTTGTTACAGAAATAAAAGTTTGATGCATGTTATAATATAATTTTGAGATCTTATCCAACAATTTATCATTGCTGATTCACTTGAAAACAAAAGCAGATCATAAGGGAAAATATTTGCATTGTAATTAAGTACAATAACATTTTAGTTGTATACAGCATGTTAATGTATTTTATTTTATTTAATTTTTAGACATCAAAAATAAGAGCACAGGTTGTTGTATTGTGTTATTTTAATAAACCATTCAAATTGTAAATTTTGTGGATTCATTGTTTTGGATATACTGTTCAAAAAGTTATTTTTTAATTAATACTTTTATTTTGCAAGTTCACACTAAATGATTAAAAAGTGAGAGTAAAGGCATAATTATGTTACAAAAGTTTTCTATTTCAAATAAATGCTGTTCTTTTGAGGTTTCCACATAAAAAATAAGCAGCACATCTGTTTTCAAAATTGATACTAATAAGTTAATGTTAATGATAATGATTTATTTATAATGTTACTAGAGCATTAAGAAGGATTTCTGAAGAATCACGTGACACTGAAGACGGGAGTATTGATGCTGAAAATTCAGCTTTGTCATTACAGGAATAAATTACATTTATTTTAACTTCTAATAATATTTCACAATATTACTGTTTATATTGTATTTTTTATCACATAATTTAAGCCTTTGTGAGCCATACTTTTAAAACAGTTCAATACAAAAAAATATTTATTTTTTTTTGCCATAAAGGGTAATAACGTCAACATATATAGACTGGCCCAGACATCGTAAAGTCTTTTGTTACCTTTTCCCCATCTATTTTAAATGACTCATTCCATCTCGAAGGGCTCCTAATGCATCTCCTTTTAATCTTCTTTTGAATTCGAGTGGTTTAGGTGAGAAAGGCCACTCTAATGGCCATGCTAACAAGAACTTCAAACTCATTTCCATTATTTCATAAGCCTCTTAAAATGCTGAAGAGACTGACGCATGATGAAACGACTTTATGTAGTATTCCGAGTTCTGAGTTTCATAAAGTCTTTGTATTTACTGCAGCAGATGGAATGAATTAGTTGAAAAGGTGTAATTTCAGCCTCATTTTGTTGAAATGCATGCAGGGTTATGCAACCAGAGCTGTCTTTATCATTTACATAAAACACATCATCCTGTTTCTCTTTCTTCCACCTGAGACCACACACACACACACACACACACAGCCTCCCACTGACTTCAAACTTGGTCACCATGGAGATCCCCTTCAAGTGCAACTGATGAACCGGTTGAATTGTATTGGTCTCTTATGCTGCTTTTGTGCAGCCAGGTGGTTGTGTAGCGATGATTCACTGCTCTGGGGTCAGCACTTAGTTTGCTCAGGCTTTGCTAAACATAGTGTTATCATCAGTGTGTTTGACGAGAGACGGGCTTGCTCTTCGCGGGTAGACGAGATCTTCATGGGTTTGCGAAAGACACGTCGGCACTCTGCGTCCGAGATCTTGCTGAAGATCCTGAGGAGGAGGCACAGCTCAGCCGTGGAAGTTCTGACTTCGTCTTCACATAGGGTTATTGTGGCGTTTAGCATGTCCGAGGCACAGACTGACATCACTGGCTGTGGGTGTAATGTGCCATGTTCAAGTTGAAGCTAATTGGTCTGATGAATCCTAATTTTTCATCGTCTATTTCTCCAGTGAATGTCCGAGTACCGACTGCAAAGTACACCAAGGTGGGCGAGACTTTGAGGCATGTCATCCCAGGACATATGCAGTGCTCCATGGCGTGTGGTGGTCGGGCATGCAAATACGAAAACCCTTCTCGCTGGAGCGACAAAGAGCAAGCCATCAAAGGACTGTACTCCTCTTGGTAAGCTGTCTTCTTGCTCTTTTGTCGGATGAAATGGAGTAAATGTGTATTGTTTCAACTTCAAGTGAACATATCAAATATTTATTTAGCCGAGTCAACATCCATTTATTGTGCTAGACCTATACAATTCACAACTCAGATACACTATTAGTTGAAGGCAACAACAATGTTAGGGACAAGGAGGTCTATCTTGGACAGAAGGTCAGTCCATCTTATCTTTTGTCATGTCTTCTATTTCATGACTATAGCCTTTGATACTGATACGCCTAAATAAATAAGAAAAGGAAATAGCGTAGTCCAGGTAAAAATGGATGGGGGGGGGGAAAAGCCTTCAAGAGCATACATCCAGAAATAGCTCAGAGGGTGAAGAATGAAAAATCAATATGCATACACATCAAAAATATAATGTAAAAAGCCTCATCAATTTATTATACAGAGGCCAATTATGAAATGTTCAGCAAAATGTTTTGGTTTCTATAGAGTACTTCTTATTCTTTTGCGATTTGGCCTCTTTATAAGAAATAAATATTTTTTTATTTCATTATCCATCCAAACTACTTGTCCATCTTGGATTTTATTTAATTTTTCCCATGAATATACCCTTTGAAAAATGTATTTATTTTGTAATATTTGATATTAATGTTATCTAATTCATACTCTGTTCACAGGATAACCGATAACCTGTTGGCCATGGCAAGACCTTCAACTGAAATTATTGAAAAATTCAACATCATCGAACAGTTTCATAAGTATGTTGAACTCAGCGGCAAGATATCAGTAAGTGATTCCCAAGATGCACCAGGGATGATTTTGCTGACGCTTAATCTTCCTTTCTTCTAGGTGTGGCTTAAAGACAGTAATCAACCTGCAGCGTCCAGGGGAACACGCCAGCTGCGGCAGCACTTTGGAGCCAGAGAGCAGTTTCACATATCGCCCAGAGGTTTTCATGGAGGCAGGGAGTGAGTAGCTCACACATGTACTCAAACATACTCTTATTCCTCCGTCAGTCAGGGGAATCAGGCTGGGATAAATCCTCACTGTTATCACATTAAATTGTCAAAATGTTTGACAAGCTAAAGAACCTTTTTAAGCAATGTTTGCTTTCTAAACATAGTGATCATGCAGTTGCTCAGCTTCCATTCAGGTACTTTGGCTTAGGGGGATTGGAAGCCCTTAATAAGCTCTCCTGAGAGTGCTGCTGCGCTTATAGGGAAACTATGCAAGGCACAGTTTTCCAGCACATTATTATTTCCAGGCACAGCATGTCCAAACATGCATGAAACGTCTCTTAAATTAAGGAAGAGGTCCCCCATGTGTTAGATAATTTATGTTTGTATATAACATTTTGAGGTTTTTCTTCAACTGTGTTCTTTTTGGCCTCCTGGACTGTTATGATCTTTAATGAAAGTTTCCACCACAATGCCATTTCCACCTCATCACAGATAATGATTTATACTTAATAGCATTCTAGGATGGAAATGGTGGAAATGACATTTTTAATATGTTTTTAAATAAATTCCATTTATTTCCATCCTAGAATGCAACTATGCAAAAAAGTAACTAAAATATTACATGTCATATAATATGAAATGTAATATTGTAGTTACTTTTTTTTTTTGCATAGTTTGACAAAATTGCAGCTTGATTGGAAATGACGCATGTTAAAAAAATATTTTGTTCATAAGTGATAATCTAATAACTTTGTTGTCTTCTTGGGCAACAAATACACCAACTTTAGAAAAACCATTGTTTTTATAATTGTTCAGTGTGGTGAAAATGACACGACAACTGTGCAACATTTTACATTTTTACTCAAATGTTGAATAAATGTCAGTTTATTTCTCTCTTTGATTATCAGAGATTTAACATTTACTAATTCATAGTTTAATATGGAGGTCTAGGTTTTTTGGGTGACAAGATATATTGAAATGTTACTTTTACTGAAAACCAGCCTCTGGGACATAAAAGTGACTGAAGAATTCAAATAACAAATCAATTGTTGGTCTGAACTGAATTTCTTGAAATGCACTACTTTGTTTCATCTTATGAGATTTGCATTTAACTTTTTCCAGTTTATTTTTACAACTTTGGCTGGAAAGACTATGGCGTGGCATCCTTGACTACTATTCTTGACATGGTGAAGGTGATGTCATTCGCCATGCAAGAGGGCAAAATTGCGGTCCACTGCCATGCTGGACTCGGCAGAACAGGTCAGTATTTTGACTTAACAGTTTGCAGTGTTAAAGGAGTAGTTCACTTTTAAAAACACTTTTGCTGATAATTTACTCACCCCCATGTCATCCAAGATGTCCATGTCATTCTTTCTTCAGTCGAAAAGAAATTAAGGTTTTAGATGAAAACATTCCAGGATTTTCTCTATATAATGGACTTCATTGGGAACCAAACGGTTCAAGGTCCAAAAGACAGTTTCAGTGCAAACTGTTCAAAGGCCTTTAAAGAATTCCAGACGATGAATAAGGGTCTTATCAAGGGAAACGATCGCTCATTTTTTTTAAATAACAAAGTTTAAGTTTAAGTAAATTAAAAAAAATAACAAATTAAGTTTTATAAGCGCAAATGGTCACCTTGCTCTGTTCATGACTCCTGTTCATACTCGTTTATCAAAATGAATGAATCTTTTTTTCGTGTCATTTGGTTCATTCAACGAACGAAATGAACGAATTGACTGAGGAAAAGGTTCGTTCATTTTGATGAACGAGTTTGGACAGGAGAGTCACGAACGCGCGTCACAGAACAGAGCAAGCCGACCATTTGAGCTTATAAAACTTAAACTTTGTTATATTTTTTTTTTTTTTAAATGAGCGATCGTTTCGTTTGATAAGACCCTTATTCATCATCTGGAATCGTTTAAAGCCCTTTGAACAGTTTGCAGTTTGCACTGAAACTGTCTTTTGGACCTTGAACCATTTGGTTCCCATTGAAGTGCATTATATGAAGAAAAATCCTGGAATGTTTTCATCAAAAACCTTAATTTCTTTTCGACTGAAGAAAGAATGACATGGATATCTTCGATGACATGGGGGTGAGTAAATAATCAGCAAAAGTTTTTTTTAAAAGTGAACTCCTTTAACTTAACAATTTAAGAAAATAACTGCAGTAGTTTTGCTTTGATCCATTTCACTGATTATGTGATTATTAACTACCCTTCATGCACATTCGTCTTCTCATAGGTGTCTTAATAGCATGCTTCTTAGTATTCACATCCCGGATGAGTGCAGATCAGGCCATTTTGTTTGTTAGAGCTAAACGTCCAAATTCCATCCAGACTCGCGGTCAACTGTTGTGTGTGCGAGAGTTCGCCCAGTTCCTCGTCCCACTGCGGAGTGTATTCTCGTGTGCCGAGCCCAAAGCTCACACAGTCACATTGTCGCAGTACCTGACTCGTCAGCGGCACCTACTACACGGCTATGAAGCGCGACACATGAAGAACACGCCAAAGATCATACACCTGGTCTGCAGGCTCCTGCTGGACATAGCAGAGAACCGACAAACGGTGGAAGAGGAGGTGTTGGACATCCCAGACCTGACTGAGGAAGTGGAGAAAACTGTCTCGCTGCAAGCCCTTCAGCAGTTAGGGAAGGAGATGAGGGGGAAAGGGATTCCCATATCCTTACCTCGCTCTCCTGACCAACCCAGCTTGCTTCTTAAAGGGCCGCAGTGTGATCCACCTCATGACCGGCCGCTCTGTAGCGACCAGGAGTTTGATGTTCTCTGGAGATGGCCGACAGTAGACAACACCTACAAGTCTCAGCTCATCTTAAGTAAATGTCTTAGCTATAGCGATTCAGCCTTGCACAAACTGGACCCAAGGGTGCAGGTACAAAAAAGTCTCCAGAATGCTCTTGGCAGCAAATCTGGTTTAAACTTTACAGAACTTTATTCATCGCAGAACAGATTGGCTATACAGACCCCAGAACTTCTGTCATCCCCATTGACATCTGAAATCAACAACAGTCCCAAACATGGCTCTTTAACTGGTTCCTGTAGCTCCCTGGTACAATCCAAAAAAGTTGAAGGCCATGCATCCTGCTCTCCTGTCTCCATAAAACGGGTACCTCTGAAGGAGGCAAAGCGCAGCATGTCCTACGGCTTTCTAGAGAAGTCCCGTGACAGCAGGACAGCGTTCTCAACGTGTCAAGGCGGCAAAAGTCACCCGTCACCCGAACAATTCACAGATGTTCCTATTTTAATGCTTCAAAGTGAACTCTCCCCTGAGACTCGTCATCTGTTTGTGGCCAAAGCTCTCACGATGGACATTCATGGAGAGGAACTCAGCACAGTCTCAGTGTGGCAGGTAGGAGCTTTGTTTTATTCCATCATTTGAGTTCAGACCTTCAATTCCATATCCTGTTCTTCTATAATGCAACTCATTTCTGCAATTGCTGTTGCCCCCCAGAGAGAGCTGAACTCCCGTGAAGGTGCATGGGAGAGGTTGTGCACCGAAAGAGATCCTGTTGTGCTCTCCACACTCATGTGGTCTTGGCTAGAGCAACTTAAGGAGCCAATCATCACAAAAGAGGATGTGGAGACTTTGGCTGGAAACCAATTTAGTCCCCAAGGTGCTCTGAATTCAATCGACAAGGTACCAAAAACATGGAAAAGTGTCTTTATAGCAGTGGTTCTCAACTTTTTTTTGACGCCAAGCCCCACACTTTGTCCGAGACAATATTTAAAAGCCCTCCTCCAAATATGAACCTCTGATGTATGTTTGTCTACATTTTTTTTTTTTCTGGACCAAACAAACCAAGCAAACTGAATTACAAGTGGGAACACATATATTTAATTACAAATGTGACTTGTTTTTTAAACCATTGAAATGGATTATGTGTATGCTAAAACATCTGTTTGTCTTTGTTATTTAGGGACAAAAACAAACCCTTCTGTGTATTCTTGATTGCGCTGCTCATTTGCTAAAAATACCCGAGGAGGTTGAGAATGCCTTTTTTGAACGTACAATCAAAGCATTTACTTGGGTAAGTCACGTCCTCGAAATAGATCTCTGGTGAAGGTTTTGTGGAATTTTTTAATTGTTGATCCTAATTCTGTGATTCTAATCCAGATTTCCCCAGATTCAGAGAATGGGCGGTTAATCTATAAGACTCTGAAAGATGTCATGATCCCTGTCCTCAGAGATATGAGGACAAAAGCTATGGAAGAGCTTGAGCTGACCTGACACCCTCTCCCATGTACCCTGACACTGGATGTGGAATCTGAAATCTGGAGTCTGCACTGTAATTTTGAAGAAGAAAAAAAAGAAACAAACAGGTTTAGTGTTTTTTTTTTGTACTCATTCTCATTCAAATAATTTATTTTAACAGCTTTTATTTGTGAGAGAACAATAATTACTGCCATACATGTATGTGCCACAAGTTTTTTTTTTAAGGCTATTTTTCTAATTTTGTTCCTTAATAGTTTATTTTTGGTACACAATATTTATTAGCTAACTGAGGAAACTATTTATTAATAAGTATGTCATGTATTTATTTTATGACTTTGTTTGGCTCTAACGAACTGAGGATTCTCATGAAAATGTGTTTTGTCATATAAGAATACTGTTTGAATAGATGGATGATGTCAAATGTACCTCATTATTGACTAAACCAAAATAATATCACTGTGCAACATGTCTCATTTTATGACACAGTCTTTAATACTTTTATTGAATGAAGCAAACTGCCAGATTTGCTGATTCTTGCCTTTGCAATTTAAAGGTTTGTATTTAAGCTACAATAGAGGACAAGTGAATGCTTTCATTCATGATGCAACACAGTTTACTTTAGGAATAGCTCAAAATGGCCTTGATCAATTTATTTGAGAATGTATCAATACAATTCCTGCTAAAACAAAATCCTGTCCTGTACAGGCTTTTGCAGGATGATCTTTACATTTTATTGGCATTATTTATAACTAAGCTGCTTCTTTTAATGAACTTAGTACTATGTTTGTCTTGTGGTGTTTTAGTAAATAACACTGTGGTGTTGAAACTGACCTAATTTGTCAACTAAAATGCTAACATTGTCTTGTCTATTTAAGTAAATATCATGTAGGCTGCAGAATACAAGTATATTCATTCATGTCTAGAGTTGTAAGTTGTTGGTTTTTTTTGTCCGATTCTTAATGACAGATTATTGTGGATTTTTCCAAAGCACTATATGGGCCAGATTTACTAACAGTTTGAAACCCTCTCTTGGCATTAAAAAAAACAAAAACAACTACTGACAGGATTTACTAGCTAAAAAATTAGCGCTGAAAATGAATGGATGCAGTTATTTTTTGCGGCTGACCTTATTGCACATGCATTTTTTGGAGTTTTCCTTTCAGATGCAAAATTTATGAGAGGAGAGGAGACTATAATGAATCACGGCAGCAACACGATTTACCATTACTAAGGTTTGCACTAGTCAATTTACTCCTATGCGCTATTATTTAACACTCTTAAAATAGCTTGTTTTAATCCTGATGCTAAACACTTTTATGGGATTGCGCTCTTATGCTAATTTGCCATGTTTAGTGGATCTGGCCCTATTATATATACGTATATATATAATATTGATAAACTATTTTTTATTTATTAATTTTTCATTCAAGTCGATCAAATAAAGATCTGAATGGTATCTTTTTGCATAGTGTCTGCCTTCATTAACCAAGATTCTTTATTGCGCTATTAAATAAATCTTGTTCATTTTCATTGTGTTCTGGATCATAATTTCATGAAAGGAAACCTCACCATTGCAATCAGACTGAGGTGACCTGGGTCAGCTAATGCTGCAAATAATAATTTGGTTTCCTACTGTATTTTTTGTGTTGCTCTCCAACCAACTCCAGCTTTTGAGTAAGGCAAGATAACACATGAAGTTTAAAAAGTACTTGGCATGTTTAAAACACAGAATGCTTTTTATAAGACTCTGTCTTGTCTTGTGTGTCTGGATCTTTTCATTCAGGCTGTTCTGGAGCTGCCCTGCAGCTGTAATTACTGCCAGAAGTGCATCAAACTAACTCCAGTTGCGTAAAAGTGTGCCCCTTTTTCCTGCCTCGTGTTCTGCTAGGTCATAAAATTTTTCATGGATAAATCCACCAGAGTGTGATAAATGGTGTTTTATATTCTAATTGAAAGGTATGCCAAATATGAAGATGAATCTGAATTTGGGTTTGTGCTGAGAACTCATGACTGAAGAAGTTCATCTCTGGTTTATTTTGTTCTTTATCATTTTACAGGATATTTGGAAACCTTGTCTTCAGAGATGATGTATGTAGCATCTGGGGTGTGAATATTAACAACAGCATGTGTTCTTAGCACTTTATGTTTCATAGGTCAAGACAGTACTAGGTGCAAAACAGACAAAAGCCTCTTAAAATATGTTCAGAATACTATTAGATCCTCTGCAGATAGAATATAATTTGTCTACATCATTGCTTATACCCAATCAATCTGATAGCTATGCTCCAACTTGTTCATTATAAGTTGTACAACTTTCTTGACTTGCTTAGACCTTTTAAATATATCTAATATGATCACATTAGGTCATTCCGTGTCAAATCAACCAAATCTTCCAAACTCATTTTTTATTTATTTAGTCGAGAGAGGGAAACAATGACTTTATAAAGAATCAAATTCAACAATTTGAACATGGAGCCACATTGAAATACCCATTTCTATGGGATTTAATCATTAACAATGAACCACAGCCACAAAGCCTCCGTGCCCTCAGATCACTTGGACGTGGCAAGAGGTTACAAGTTACAAGAGGTAAAAACGATACTGTTCGTTTTCTCACACAAACTGCTCGTTTCGTGTCTTAGGCCATCAAAGTATACTTACATTATGAGTCATTAAATCATGTTTAATTTGGACTACTCAGTGTGTATGCTCTCTGAGGTGGTGACCATAGACCTTCATTGTATGACTGATGGACACGAGCGGTTTAACCTAAAAATATCAAAATTGAAACTACAGCGGAAACAAAGACACCTACATCTTGGATGCTCTTGAGGTAAGCTAAAACATACCAAAAATTTATTTCAAAGTGAACTATCCCTTTAATAGTGGTTGTTTTTTTTTTTTTTTTTTTTTTTTTAAAGGAGTGATTTACTTGCATCATGAGAAGCTTCCAGCTTCAGTCAAGAGGTCAAGACTGTATAAGCAGATCAACAGCCCCACCTGGTGGTTAGTAAAAAAACAGCAAATTCACTTAAAAAAAAAAAAAGGATTTTCTTTAGACAATGGATGGATATGCACGCCAGTCGCCAACAGCCTAACTGTTTCGTCTATTCTATTCTATTCTATTCGTACATGGTAGTTGCAAGCTTTCTGTCATATTTTATAACAATTGTCGACACCGACTAATTATATAATATTATATTAAAAATAATATGATAAATAGTCCTATATATTTCTAACTATGGTAAACATTATATTTACATAACATGTTTCTAATGGGGTTCAGGAGATTTAAATACATTTAACATGAGGGTAGATCGTGTCAGTATTGCTTTGTTCTGATGTGAATTTTTTGCTTACTTTTCTCATTTTCATACACTGCGATGCACCGGAAGCAGCCGCAGTAGCTACTGAGGCTAAATGCAGAGTGCGATAAATAAACGTTTTTAATTTTATATAAATATATAAAGAATTCATGTTGTCTACGTAAAACTGTATATCTTAACATTCGACAAACGTTTAAAAAAAAATAAAAATCAGTAATTCTTCGTGGTAACTCCCTCACAGGGAGGTCACTGGCTCGTCAGTCCTCTACGCGTTCATCATCCGGGTCCTGGAGTAGTTTCAGCACAGACGCTGACCGCGGGTGTTCATCGCTATTAGCCGACTAGCCTTCATCTTTCACTGAGGACATGCTGAAGGTATGGCAGAGCGTTTTTGTGTAAAAATAGCCCTTTCTTGTTATCAGGGAAACCGTTAAGGTTTTATCGCGTATTTGTTTCTGTATTTTTCTTTCGTCCGATCAACTTTACAAGAAGTTTCCATTGCTCACTTCATTATTTAAGAGCGATGTGTAAACTAGCTTGCTGGCTAGTGTGTGAGAGACATTTATCCTAGCATGCTATTTGAATAGAGCTTATATCTATTTACATACGGTGCTCTGAAGAAGTGTACAGTGTTGTGTATGTCAAAATGCCGTGGAGTTTCTACTTGTACTGAGGGTTGTTATATTTGTTGGATAACGTTGTATTAGCAAGCTAGCCACTGGAGACCGCCATTTTTTTATGAATCAAGCGAGGGAAATTTGAGCAACCTACAAAGAGTTTAAGAGGACAAACTGAGACCCCCATTATAATAATAAAAGTAAAAAATTATATAACTGACTGTCTTTAAAACAGCAGCAGTCTTTATTCTTAATACATGCAGAATGTGGAGCATGTTTTATCAGATATCTTTAGTTAAAGAAATCTGGACTTGTTCAGCATAACGTTAGTTAGATTGTGTCACGTTGCAAGACGTCAATTTGACAATTTATATTGGTCCAAGTAACTTAAAGTATTTATCGTTAGTATTCTTTTTCTTGTGAATGGACTTGTGAAACGAAGAAAATGCATCAATTACTCAACCACTTAATGTCGTTTAATTTTTTTCTGTCCTTCCATTGACAGTCCACACAACTACCACTTTGCCGCCTCAAAAATGTAATTAAAGAGATAGTAAAATTAAGACGAGATCCCTTTATGTGATGAACTTTAGGCTTGTATTCACATATTAAGTTATGGTAAATGGAAGCTCAAGCATGTTTGCTAGTGAACCAACCAATCAGGTTTGTTCTGACACTTCTAGCAGTTTTGGTTGAGCTTCTGTTTATGTTCTCTGATCAGTGTTTATATGGGAATAAAAGCCAAAATTCAGCTGTTCAACATATAACAAGATTGTGTCTCTTCTGAAAATTCGGACTAAACCATTCTATTCATATGGGTTTGTTGTTTATGATCTCTTCATGAACCTTATCAAGGTGGTAGATGCGTAGCTGTCAATTAAGTGACAGAAATCTCTCAGATTTCCTTGAAATATCTTCATATGTGCTTTGAAGATGAACGAAATATCTTAATATGTGCTTTGAAGATGAACGGCACAAGGGTGATTAAATTATGACAGAATTTAAATTTTTGGGTGAACTGTCCCTTGAATATGCAGCATGAATAGAAACATGGAGAAGTGCCCAATTGTAATTTAGGTGTCTGTTGTCAAATTGGTTTCACGGCCAGATCCTCTGAATAGTTATTTTACCACTGGCTTCTGCTTTGACAGAGCATTTGCAATAACCAACTGCTTAATATCAAGTTGTCATTCCATCAGTGTTTTATGTGCATTCAGGAGATGTACTTTACCACAGATGAATCTGCAGCTCCATGGTACAATATACACAACATTACATTGACAATAAATATCAATATTCTAACTTTTTTTAATCAAGTGGTCCTCACTCACAGCATGTGACAAAAAATAAATAAAAATACAATTCAGTATATTATTATGTCCAGTTTGTGAACAATTCACCCAATGAAAACATTGGCAGTCTTTGCAAAAACAACAGTAAGGAGCAGTTCATTTATTCTTGTTGTGACAGTAACATTTATTATACGTTTCAGTTACTGTTCACATACTGGTTTATAACACAATTTATAAACTCAATGAATGAAACAGACTTAAGATAGTTCAGAAACACGAAATTGCATTTAGAATGATGCGCTATACCAACAAGATGGCTGAAAACAAGACCAGGCTTTGAGTGCTTTGCTTCCCTCTTGCTCGCCTGCTGTTACTGACATCATCTATCCCAGAGCAAAACTGGGCCCAAGTCCGAATGTGGCGGCATTTAATCTTGACTGAGATGCTAGTACGTAGCCAAGTCACACACAATGTCAACATGGCTTCCCGGTGCCGAGAGGGTGCCAGTGACTTTGCCAGCCCCTCCATTTTGCTGCATTACCCGTGCTGTCGACAGTTCTAGGGAGCATTTTGTAGTCCTACAGATGCCCGGTCGGGGTCTTTTTTTCATTATGCGTACTTCCACAGTAACTTTAAATGTTGTGCGACGAGAACAGCGACTATTTCGAGTTTTGAACATTCGGGTTATTTTGTCAGCAGATTGACGAACGTTAATTCACTAACCTTTTTCCCGTCCACAGAATGACTGTGTTTGGACATCCTAACATGGCGGGCAAAAAGGACTTGGGAAGACATCGGTTTAGTTACTTCTGCTACTATCCAGTTCCAGGTGGAGAGAAGGTAAAGAAGACATGTTCACCGTGGGATGAGGTAGTAGGTTGTATAGTTTTAGGGTCACACCCACACTGGGAGATAACTATACAGCCTACTGTCTTTCTCAAAGTGAAAACGGAGCAACCTACGGAGTTTCATCCTTCATTTTCTGATGTTTAATATCAATGATAGCATTGTCACGGTATGTTTTGTTTTATAATTTTTTTTTTTAAAATATAATTTGTGTGGAATGGTAATAGTTTTGATGCTTGTGCAGTGTGAGGTAGTAGATTGTATAGTTGTAGGGTAGTGATTTTATCCTGTGTAGAAGATAACTATACAATCTATTGCCTTCCCTGAGGGGCAGAAACACATCTAATTATGTTAGAAAATCTGATGTAGTGTATCAAAACATTTTCCACGTCTCTAATGCAATAAAAGTATTTGCAAATGTACCAGTGTTTGTCTTTGATTAAAATTGGTATTTATGTAATGACTACAGATTATTTCTAAGTTAAGAGGGCAAGACACAATCCTTGATTAATAGAAAAAAGTGTATGATGTAATAAGAGGTTGTTCTTGTCGTCGCAGCAGCATCATACATTCATCCTGGAGATGGCGCTCTTGTATTGTCTATAAATATTGAACACATGGCTGAATCTACAGGATGAGAGATGCTGCATGTCCCGAATGATCAGCCCTCGGTTAACAGGGTGTCTTTAATCCATGTGCTGCTTTAAGATTTGTTATTATGCCACCCACTATGGGATTATATTCATTTGGTGTCCAGTAAATTCACCAAACCATGAATGCTTGAAGGATCTGTAGATAATTGCATTGTGGATAATTCTGGGATGAATGGTTGCTTAGCAACTAGCTGTATTTTAATCGTTGTTTGAGCAAGACTTGCATTTGATTTCTCTTCATGGGGAATCTTTGGAAAATGTTCCAATGACTGATTATTTATGTAAAATAATGAACTGCTTAATAATGTGTCTGATGTGTGCGCGCGCGTCATATTTGGACTTGGATTTTAAAAGTGTGTTGCCCAAACTTATTCTCAAACATCAAAGCTACATGGTCTTAAATCCAGTAATTCACAAGGAATATGAATTTTATGAATGTTAAACAGCAATAAAATCATTTGCATAAATAATCAATCACTTTGATTTTTGTTTTCCTTTAAATCCCTTTGATTTGTGTTTTCCGGGTCATTCCACAAAACGTGCATTCTTATATGTCAGACAAACTCTTGATATATTTAATTGCACTAGGCCTTCTCATGCTAATGCCTTGCGTAACAGGGTCGACTAGGAGCCACTAGGAAGAACATTTAAGGCCGGATATCTACAAATATCCAGTTTTCAATATCAAATCAGTTTTTGTTTCCTATAAAAATCATGTTAACACGGCCGATTTTCAGGTTGTCTATAAGAAAATTTGATTAAAAAAACACCTTAAAGGATTAGTTCACTTTTAAAAAAACTTTTGCTGATAATTTACTCACCCCCATGTCATCCAAGATGTCCATGTCTTTCTTTCTTCAGTTGAAAAGAAATTAAGGTTTTTGATGAAAACATTCCAGGATTTTCTCCATATAATTGACTTCATTGGGAACCAAACGGTTCGAGGTCCAAATGAGAGTTTCAGTGCTGCTTCAAAGGGCTTTAAATGACACCAGACAATGAATAAGCGTCTTATCAAGCAAAACAATCGGTCATTTAAAAAATAAATGATACATTTTAAGTTTTATAAGCACAAATGCTCGCCTTGCTCTGTTCTGTGATGAGCGTCCGTAACTCTCCTGTTTGAACTCGTTCATCAAAATGAACAAGTCTTTTTTCGAGTCATGACTCGAAGGGTCCTAGAGAAGACCCTTATTCATCGTCTGGTGTCGTTTAAAGCCCTTTGAATCTGCACTGAAACTCACATTTAGACCATGAACCGTTTGGTTCCCAATGAAGTCCATTATATGGAGAAAATCCTGGAATGTTTTCATCAAAAACCTTAATTTCTTTTCGACTGAAGAAAGAAAGACGTGGACATCTTGGATGACATGGGGGTTGAGTAAATTATCAGCATAAGTTTTTTTTTTTTTTTAAGTGAACTACTCATTTAATGAGTTCAGTCGATCTTACAGTCTTATTTCCCCCCTTTTTTGTACTTTATTTTAAAGAGATTAGGATGGTAATAACTGGGTTTGTTGAATGTGGAACTTCGCTCCTATTGTTAGCCTATTGATTGAATTGGAATGTGTTAACCTTTCATTAAAGAACAAAGTTATTGCACTGTACAGTCCTTGGTACGCGTGGTTCTTGTTTTCCTCTCTTTTTTTGGTGAAGTATGGATGAACACATCTCTCACCTCGCAATTAAGGGCTTGAGGTGGGTGAGGGGGAAATCTAAAGTCGAACAAGTTTTCTTTTCTCATGGGAGGAGCAAACGGGTGCAGGAAAATAGATAAAAGCTCCGTTTAAGAAGCTGGAGTTACTGCGATATGATCTTCGCCAAGAAGCGCATAGAAAAGATTCCTTTCTTAATCAGATTGCTCATTATGGTATTATAGCGCGAGCGATATATAGAAATCCAAGTGACACATCTATAGCTTATTACTGGGTTGTCGTATCTCAAATCAGATTTTTTTAACCTCCATACGTACTTGGCGTACTTCAATGCATACTTGTGTTGTTTGGTTGAACGCGCGTGATTGCGGTGTGTTTTGAAGTTATATTATTCGCGTTATCAACCTGCTACTCGGCTTCAGGAGCACAAAGACTAGGAATATCGGAAAGTTGACTTTCCTTCAGAACACACTCTGATAGATTTAACAGATAAAGAATCTGATTCAAAGGGTGCTGTGATTGTAAGACCGGGTAGTTAATCGAAACTCGTAAAAGTGATTCAGAAGTTGTACATATGCAGAATAACGTTCATCTCCACGCGTCCCGAAGGATATCAGCTCAGGTGTTCACGTCAAGTTCTCTCGGAGTTTTGCATCCCTCTAAGGACTTGCTTCGCTTGTGATAAAACCTCTTGTTCACCGGTTAGGAGACTACTATCATTTCACAGTCTATTAACAAAGTACACGCTGAACATGAGCAGGAAAACACGCCGCTGGATTTTTCACATGTTCCTCTGTTTGGGGATTATATATTTGAAGATTGGGTAAGTAAAATTTTTGCAAAAATCCAATTTAAGTTATAGGCTACATGACTATATGATAATTTAATTATTAATGTCGGTTTACTGCCATTATAACGCTTGCATTTGATAAAGTTGTGTGAATATTTAGTCAAAGAAACAAGAACAGTGGAACTTTTTTTTTTGTTTATGTATCTGAAATATCTCAATGACTTTTGTTGTCTGGATTTATTCAGTTACTTAAAAACAAATGCAATTCTTACAAAAATTGTATGATGAACATGTTTAAAAAAAAGTTATTTATACAAATATATACATTTGAAAGGCTTAGTGGAAACCACCTATATTTTACAAATTAATATTTGGAAAAAAAAACTTTTGTCAAGTCAGTGTGGCCTAACCAAATTTTGACTGTTGTTGTCATGAAAAAAATAAATAAAAATAAAACAGAGGTCCCCTTTATAACATCATCATTGTGTCAAGATCATAATAGTTTTTGCTTTACTTTATGAAATGACGTTTTTTTTTCATGTCCAATGGAGTAACCCTATAAAAATTTCATATTTATGACTTGGAAAAAGTTTAGACTTTCAAGGTGCTAAGAAAGTAATTTAGTACTTTTACTTGACTGATATACTAATCGATTTTTTTTTTTTTTTTAGAAAATGTTAGTATAATGATGAACATTTTTAAGAACTTGGCACTAAATGTTAAAACAATTTCTACTTTTTATCATCTCAAACATATGTCATTGTCCCACAAAATTATCTTTTTTATTTTCCTTATTGAACAATATTTAAATATATAATAATAGTAATAATACTCAAATAACAACCATATCATAGTTCAATTGTCTCCCAAAGTGCTTTAGTGCTGAGTTTTATAACCATCCATGTATACTGTGAATTATCCTTTAGCCATGGCCCATGATTCCAGAAAAAAGATGTAAGTATTTAAACATTTTCTGTATAAATATAAACCCTTATTTCTAAATTTACAGGGGCTTTTCCTCCGTGGTTGCGTTGGGAGCAAGTATTATCTGTAACAAAATTCCTGGTTTGGCCCCTCGTCAAAGGACTATCTGTCAAAGCCGGCCTGACGCTATCATTGTCATTGGAGAAGGAGCGCAAATGGGAATCAATGAGTGTCAGTTTCAATTCAAAAATGGAAGGTGGAACTGCTCGGCCCTCGGGGAAAGAACTGTCTTTGGAAAAGAGTTGAAAGTGGGTATGTTACCAAATTATTACATTTATATTGTTACAGTATTCACAAATGAAGTGTTTACATTTTTAAACTAGTGGCCTTGAAAAGAGAGAGTGGAAAGCACAAATAATGTTGTTTGACCAAATCACCAAGCAAATAAAGCTGTTTTAGGCTAAGTGTGGATGAAGAAACCTTTAGATTTTAGTTTCGGTTTTTTATTTTTAATAGTGAAATCACAGGCCACCTGCTGGAACACTCTTACTTTGTTTATTACTTCTTTATAACAAATATTATATAGAGACATGGGGCCTGGAATGACATTATTTTGTGTCCTGTTTTCCCTCACTTTGACATCTCATTTGAAATGATTTGTCATTGGATGTCAGGTAGGTTTCAGCTGCATTCATGGAGCAAGTGCCAACGTGGCTGGATTTATAGCCCTCTCAACAGTCCACCCTCTCAAAAGAATTCTTTTTCTAGTCGTCCTGTCTTATCTGTAGATTTTAATGATTTGGCACTCAGGGTTTGCACTTTACCACGGGTATAAGTTACAGTGGTTGAATGGTAGGACCAAAAGAAAGTACAGTATTGTGAAGAAATGTAACAATATGTCACCTTAGAGAGACAAAGCAAAAGTAATTAAGCGAGTTTTTCACTTGGTGTAATGTTATCCATTTTCCTAAGGCAAACTTTGGCCTGTTAAGGGGTCCTTTAGTGCTATTGAGCCAACGACACTTTGATGAATGGTGACGTGAGGGACTTCGCTTTAGTTTCATACCCTCTTTGGCTGCTAGCACAGAGGAGTTAAATGCGCGTTTTTGTTCTGTGGAAGATCGGAAATAAACTCCAAGATAATATTTAATGAAATTTCTCCTCTTTCCTTTTTGCTGTGCGCTCTTAGGATCCAGTCAGTGTTGCGATGGTGTGCTTGAGGCCCAGGGGAAATGCTAAGATCTGTAGAGACTTGTATCTATCGCTGAAGGTGAAGCTGTATTTTATCCCTTTGCATCAAAGACAAGCGCCTCTGAAAAAAAAAAAGCACTGGGTTTCGTCTCTTTCCATCTCATTCTTGAGCTGCACACACTTGAATGGCAGCCTGGATTTGTTGTGGG